GGATGATGACGACGACGACGATAATGTTGATGAGGATGATGTTGATGTTGTTGATGTTGTTATTGTTGATGTTGTTGTTGTTGTTGATGTTGTTGTTGATGATATTGTTGTTGGTGTTGTTGTTGATGTCATTTTGTTGATGTGTAGGTAGACTCGATGATGAGATTTAACATTCTCCGAGCTACACTAATTCGCTATCATCGCCACCATCAACGTCATCATCATCATCATCGTCATCATCGTCATCATCATCATCGTCATCATTATGACTTCCTCTTAGCCAGTCATGCACATCTCTACCGAGGCAACCGTTCCAAAAATAATGATAACATTAACATGATGACTCTCATACATTAGCATAATGACAACAACAACAGCAATAACAATAATAATTATGATGACGATGATGGCGACAATTAAGTCATAGTAATGACATCCTAAAGTGATGATGATGACGACGACGATGATGATAATGATGTCGATGAAAGTGAAATCACTGTAGGAGGACAAACAATAGGAACGTGTTGCAGTCTTTGACGATATCACGTACCATGATGACGATGATGATGATGACGATGACGACGATGATGATGATTATTATGATTATAAATTAATGACGATGACTTTTGTTACTAATATTAATATTATTGTTATTATTATTATTACTATTATTATCACAATGATGATGATGATGATGATAAATGGATTAAACAACAACAACAACACCACCAACAACAACAACAACATAATAATATAATAATAATAATGATAATAATAATAAAGATAGTTCGATGATCATTGAACTGATATATACATGAGAGCAGAATGGAGAAGCATACAAAGGAGGAAAGCATTGGATGGCGTGACATTCTTTCTTTACGTAGGAAAATCATACGTACGGTCGTCATTAAGAAGAACGAATGAATGAATGAAGGAATGAATGAATGAATGAATGAATGAATGAATGAATGAATGAATGAATGAATGAATGAAAGAATGAATGAATGAATGAAAGAATGAATGAATGAACGAACGAATTAATGAATGAATGAATGAATGAATGAATAAATGAATAAACGAATAAATGAATGAATGAATGAATAAACGAATGGATGGATGAATGAATGAATGAATGAATGAATGGATGGATGAATGAACGAACGAACGAACGAATGAATGAATGAACGAATGAATGAACGAATGAATGAATGAGTGAATCAGTGAGTGAATAAATGAAAATTGTTTAGCACGGTGTCCTGATTTATATAGCGCCTCTAATGAGTTGACCTGAGTTTTGATGTTACGCCGAAGCTCCATATTGTTATCATCGTAAATAAATATGATTATTTTTTATCATCGTCGTCATCGTCATCGAAGCACTTTTACACACGTAAATAGATCAACCTTTAGTTTCTCAGATGCCAAACTTTTTCCGGTTTTATCGTACAGTTTGACTTTGATTAACTTACACAAAACATGATATTAATGACGATCATGATGACGACGACGATGATGAAGATATTAATGATGATGACGATGATGATGATAACGACGACGATGATGATGATGATGACGATGATGATGTTGATGATGACGACGACGAAGTCAAAACTTGGTCTCTTATTCCATTGTTGAAAGATTTCAAAAATTAAATTTATTAACCTCATCGCGAATTGTTGAAAAATTGTGTAATTTTGATTTAACTCTTGTGTGATCTTTGTTTGACCTCTATTTGACCTTTGGTTAGCATAAAAAGAATTGAAATTTTAAATATAGACCAGTTCATACCATTCAAGTCCTATAGAAACGGAAAGCCGTTCGTCATTCCCAAGAAGTAGGCGGGGTTATTTATTCATTTATGTGATTGATTGGTTTGTTAATTGACTGACTGACTGACTGACTGATTGATTGATTGGCAGACAAATGAGTGAATGAATAAAACAAAACGAACAAACCCACCAACAGTTCAGCGAAAGACCTGTGCGGCAAATTCAACGATTGGTGTCTGCCAGTTGAAAAACCAACGCCAGCCATGACCTGCTGCTCCGGGTTCTCCTGCAAATGTAACTACTGGCGAGATGTTTGCAAGTGTAGAAGTGGATTTTGGAACCTCTGGTGATGATAATGATGATAACGTGGGAAGGGTGGTGATGATGATATTGAGTTTATGATGATGATATTGAGATGAGGATGAAGATATTGAGATGAGGATGAGGATGATGATATTGAGATGAGGATGAAGATATTGAGATGATGATGATGATATTGAGATGATGATGAAGATATTGAGATGAAGATATTGAGATGAGGATGATGATATTGAGATGAGGATGAAGATATTGAGATGATGATGATGATATTGAGATGGTGATGATGGTGTTTTTGCGTTGTTATTGTTGTTGATAATGATAATGTTGTGATGGTGGTGGTGAGGATGTTGTAGTGATGATGACGATGATGATTATTTTAACAGCAACAAAAGAATAAAAATTATTTTCATGTTATATAATCGCTAATGAGGTTGAAGCTGCATCTAACAGGCAATGAATAAAAATTTTAAACAAAAATGAAGTCTTTTGAGGAGTTTTTTTTACAATTATATATATATATATATATATATATATATATATGTGTGTGTGTGTGTGTGTGTGTGTGTGTGTGTGTGTGTCTGTGTGTGTGTGTGTGTGTGTCTGTGAGTGTGTGTGTCAGCAATAAAAAATATAAGACACTTGTAAAAGAAAAATTTAAATTAATAATTGATATTAATAAAAGAATACAACGATGGTGAGAGAAAAGAGAGAAAGAAAGAAGAGAAAGAGAGAGAGAGAGAGAGAAAGAAAGAGAGAGAGAAAGAGAGAGAGAGAGTAGATACGTCACCAAAATAACAAATGGCCGTTAAATGACTGTCCTTGCTAGTTTATGACGTCACATGACTTATGTACTGGGTCACATGACTTATATGCGTCTGTCTGTCTTCATTAATTCATCAATCTCAATGGACTCTTGCTCGGTCTTTTTATAATGGATGGACTAACAATACACACACACACACACGCACACACACACATACATACATACATACACAAACATATTTACATACAACAATGCATACAACGATACATGCACACACACACACACACACACACACACACACACACACACATACATAATTTGATTTATTTTCAAATGCAAATAGGTAGTCGCTTTCCGATGTAAAATATTAATTCACTTTAACAGGCTTTATGCTTACAAAAGTTTCAACAATGGTATTTTGGATAAATATATATATATATTGTGTGTGTGTGAGTATGTGTATGTGTGTGTGTGTGTGTGATGTGTGTGGTGTGTATGTGTAGGTATTTCATTTAACACACTTATACATTATCGTTATCGTCATCATGGTCATTATCATTCCCTTTTTTTGAGTATCATCATTATCACCTTCATTATCATCATCATCATCTTCTTCATCATCATCTCTATCATCATCATCATCATTACTTTTTAAATTTTATAGTTCATCATTTTCAACCGCAAGACACCTCGCGATAAAATATAAATAAATGAATGATTGATTCGAAAGTTAATTTCTGTATATTAGCAACAACAACAACAACAGTAGTAACAACAACACACACATAACATACATACACACATACTATTGCATACAAACAAACAAACACAAACAAAGACACACAAACACAAACAAACACACATAAACACTACCTACACTTACACGTACATACACACGCCACACACCTTTTCACTCACAGACACACGCACTACTGACACACACATAAACACACACATATACACACAAACATCTACCAACAAACACACTCAGAGTAAAAAAATATAATTTGTAGATTTCCGAAGACAAGCCTTTCATTAACGAACGAACGTACGAACGAACGTACAAACCAACAAATATCATCATTAGGCAATTGGTTTTTTCGCGCCCAAAATTATGGCAAAACTTTTCAAAGAAATAAATATAAGATTGTATGTTTAACTGCATAATTGCACACATTGAAAATTAACTCTCGAGAGAGATAGGTAGATAGAGAGAGAGAGAGAGAGAGAGAGAGAGAGAAATCTAGAAAAAGAATTAGCTTATAGAAATTTTTACAAATTTTAAGCTACACACACATAAAATAAATACACACAAATATCTAAAATGAATACATATATACACATAAATAAATACATATGAGAAAAAAAGCGAGAGAGTAAAAGAAGGACACACGGATAGAAAGAGAGAGAGAGAGAAAGAGAGAGAGAGAGAGAGAGAGAGGCAGACAGACACACAGTCGGTAAAAATTTTTTTTACTGAAAATTTGAGGTATACCAAAACACCAAACCATATCATTATTACAAAATATATAATTATCGTAATAATAGGATTAGTTCAAATAATGTAAGTATTAATATAATATTATTAATAACATAATAATAATAATAATTTTATTATAAGAAATTATTAAATATAATATAATGCACTGAACGTGTAGTGTTTAAAATTATCCTTACACTCCATTGAACCCTATTTGATGGATATGACTATAAGGGGTAACCGTTTGGAAAACTTGTACTTCCAAAACATTGATTTATCGATTAATTTATTAGTTCATTTGTCCATCCTTTCATTTATTCATTCATTCATTCGTTTGATCTTCGTTCGTTCGTTCCTTCGTTGTTGGTTCGCGCATACACACACATACTTTCATTCGTACAAAACAACATACATTCGTTTTTACAAACATACATATATACAGACATACACGCACATACATAAAAACTTTTAATTTCAAAATAAAACGGCATTTGAGCCACTTTTCCACAATTTTTGTTGATTTAAATCAGATCTTTAGGAAAAATTGGAAAAAATAGGTACACATGTATTATAATCAGTTGAACGTGCATTACTGAGAAATAAATTACCTGCTGCTGCTGCTATTGCAGCTGCTGTTGCTGCCACTTCTACCACCCCAAAATTTGGAATGGTCCTAGACAAGAAAAACATGCAGAAAGATAATGGCGGAAGGACTTTTGAAGACAAGTTACTCTCGTTACAAACATCAAACTTTCTCGATAGAATGGTCTTCAACTTCATACAGGAGATCTCGATCATCGGGTTCCGATACTGTTTCGATAAGAACCGATCCAAAATGCGCAGACTGATGTGGAGCATGTTGATCCTGCTCGCTATTGGCCTGGCTGGATATCAGATCTGTGATAGGATTGGTTAGTCGCTTTGCCGATTTCTTTTTGGAGTTTCTATAATTGTATTGAGTTCGTTTGTTGTTGATAACTGTTGATTAAATGTGATTTTTGCTGTTTTGTTTTTTTTATCATCTAAGCGTTTAACAACATACAGCCACAAACAGACACACAAACAAACATACAGGCAAACAAACATAGAAGCATACATACAAACATACAATCGAACAAACAAACATACAATCGCACAAACAAACATACAATAGCACATACAAACTTACAAACAAACAGCCCTCTACACAAGTTACTCGACAACATCTGACATAAACATGATCAATGCAAATACTCTGGACTTTCCACAAGTGACAATCTGCAACGAAAATGCCGCCAGGATGAGTGTGGCCAAAAAATACGGTATGTTCCATCGTGGGTCATTCTGGGTCACAGGTCATAGGTCATTCAATTATAATAAGAATTAATTTTAGATACCAAAAATTATACTAATTCATAAAAAACATTTTAATACAGTAAGACATATCAACATAAAAAGATATGAGAAGCAGTATTTTTCAACATACTAAACCCACAAATAGTAAATACACACACATACACACGCACATACATGTATATAAACACACACACACACACACACACACACACAGGAATAGTTGAACTTTTAACAGCGCTCTATCCGCCACTGTCAAAAGCATCCATGGTAGAAAATGACAACTGGGATAAAATTTTCATTCCCAACAAAAGCCGGGAACAGTGGGAAGAGATAAGGAAGGAGTTGGCTCAGCCATTCCAAGAGGCTTATTATAGCGTATATCAATTAATTTATTATAACATAAAAAAATAAAATTATGTGTGTGTGTGGTGTGTGTGTGTTGTATGTATGTGTGTGTGTGTGTGTGTGTGTGTGTGGTGTGCGTGTGTGTCTGTTATATGTTTATGCGTACGTACATACATTTGCATTATATGGATTGTTTGTTGTATAGCAGTAAGTGGAATTTTGAAATTTTTCACTTTTCGCAGTGCACCTGGGGAGCCAGCACTTGTAATGTTTCACTATTTAGGACTGTGCAGACGAACATGGGACAGTGTTTCGCTATTGTGGCTTGTTTGTCAAATAATGAAATAATAAATTAATTCGTTCATTCATACATTCATTTGTTCGTTCGTTCATTCATTTATTCATTCATTCATTCATTCATTCATTCATTTATTCATTCATTCATTCATTCATTCATTCATTTATTCATTCATTCATTCATTCAATCATTCATTCATTCAATCATTCATTCATTCATTCATTCAATCGATCTTTCACCTCTCCAATCAGCTGATTATAACTTCACCGTGACAAGGGCTGGCTCATTCTACGGGCTAACCCTTGCCCTCTTTGCCAACCAACTTGATTACCTGGGCACGACATCCCCCTCTGCTGGCTTCAGGGTAGGTACATGCATGCATGCATACATACATACAAGCATACATAAATACATACATACATACATACATACGACATACGACATCAGGCGACAGCAGGGAACTGTTTTTCGCAACTAACCACATTTCGTGCTTGTTGCAGCGGTTCCTGCGTGTCTGTGTGCTTGAAACTATCCAACTGAATGCCGACATGTGCAATTAACGACAAATCAAAGTGTTAATCCATTTGTTACTTGATGTTTGACGGTTCAGTGTCACTCATCATGTTTTGGTTTCAACATACATACATACATACATACATACATACATACATACATACATACATACATACATACATACATACATACATACATACATACATACATACATACATACATACATACATACATACATACATACATACATACATACATACATACATACATACATACATACATACATACATACATACATACATACATACATACATACATACATACATACATACATACATACATACATACATACATACATACATACATACATACATACATACATACATACATACATACATACATACATACATACATAAATGCATGCATGCATGCATGGATACATACATGCAAACTTAACAGCTCCTGTTACACGATCCAGCTGAATTTCCTTTGATGCAAGAATCGGCCATCAAGTTATCACCAGGGTTCATTACATCCGTCTCGGTTGCTTACAGTACGGTTGGAAAGTTTTGTTCCACAATATTTATTATATTAATAAATTATTTTTATAATAATTAATAGATTATTCATTATTAATGTTTATTTCAAAATTTGTAACTTGACAAATTATTTTAAATTTCGCAACTTGAATATAACTAAATTGTTTTTAACGTTTCTTCGAAATTCAGACGAAGAGACAACCTCCCCCGTACGGTATCTGCCTGGACAGGCCCAACTACCACCAGACAGATTGCATCATGAAGTGTGAGGCCCAGTACGTCTACGAGAAGTGCGGATGCAAGTTCTTCTACGAGAAAGGTTGGTTCAAGATGAAAGAGTTGAAAATACCAAACCAGTGCTTCTTCGATGTCTTCTTGTTTTGTATTTGTCGGGCTCAGTCGTTCCTTTGAACAAACGAGTGTCTTGGTCCGGAAGATTCGATAGCATTGAATCCGCCATTCTCTCTTTGAATATACTAGCTAGAGATTAGGAAATATTACGTCAGATCAAATCTTACGAGTGTGGTTGAGAAACAACGTCATTAAATATTATAAAATCTATTCGATTCTTTGGTATAAAAAAAAGTTTTATCTGAAAAATAACTGAAAAATAAATTAAAAAAATACAAAAAAGCATTCAGACTTTTAACTAACCATCTCAAGACGTCTCAAACATCTCTTAGATCTAGTGGCTCCGATATGCGATTTCGTTGAATTGTACAAGTGTGCGCAGACTGCACTCTTCAAGTTCAACAACGATCTGACGATGAAGGGAGCCAGGAGTTGCAACTGCCCACCGCAGTGCGTCAGCAACACCTACCAGCTGACCGTCTCCCAGGACATCTTCTCCAACAGGTTCGCCACTCTGGCTAGTAACTTCACGGCTGTTAATAACGTTAGCCTGCCGGTCACGCTCAGCAAGCAAGTCATCATGGAAAATTATGTCGCCGTCCAGGTTTCCTTACTCTTCAGTTTCATATTTTAAATTGTTTCGGGTGTAGGCTATATATTCTAATGTTCGTGCATATAGGATGAGTTTAAAAATCGTGAAAATATGTGGTGTAATATATTATTTTCTCATCTTTAATAAAAACTCAAAAACAAGCACGATTTCTTAAAATCGCAACAGCAACATCATTTTTATAGGTCTACTATTCGACTATGCAATACTTTTCAATAACAACAAACCCTGGCTACTCCTTTATGGGCCTGCTAAGTGACATTGGAGGGGCCCTGGGTCTCCTTCTTGGAGCAACCATCCTCACTTTCGTCGAAATTGCCGAATTTGTTTGGGAGCTGGCCTGGTTCTGGTACATCACTAGGTTTGCCAAAGATGACACGAAGGAGAACAAAGTGATCGTAGTGCACAAAACCAAACAGACGAAGATTATCCCATTCTTTGCGGATTAATATCAGGCGTCAAACCTGAAGTTGAAGTCAAACATTAATGTCTATGGACATATAACTGCATATATATACTATATGTCATATGTGTGAATGTAAATGTAGTTAGTATTTCATTAAATATACCTGTGTTTTAACGCTTCTTAAATAGGTGACATGACCAATGCCCAGATACATCTAATCAAATAGTTGTTTAATCATTAATTTGTAAACTTTTTCACAATCTATGTTGTATATATATATATATATATATATATATATATATATATATATATATATATTGGTTAAGATATATATATATATAAGTGTAGAAGGTACACATTTAAAAAATATCGTTTTATTAACTCTATAATAAAACAAACGATCAATTGTGTTGAATGTGTTTAATTCTATATATAGATATATATATATATATATATATATATATATATATATATATATATACCATTTATCAGTTTTAATCAGCCATCACTGAACTTTATTTACTATTGATTTCCATTCACATTTAATCGTTAATCGAAGCATGCTTTTTTCGATCTTCAAATTATTATTTTCTAATTGATCGGAAGAATTTTAAAATTTGAAAATAGTTTACTAATAATTATAATAAATGTTATTTTAAATTAAATTTTGGTTGATGATTTTTTTTCAAGTTGTTATTTTGTTGGTTAATGAAAGAAAATTAATTTTTTTGAAAAACTCAATTAAAAGCTGCAAGTAAAAAAACTGTAAATATTAATAAATTATTATAAATAAATTATATTTATTAAACAAATTAGCGTCGAATTACACTGAAAAATTAAAGTAAAATGAGTAAGCGACCTGAGCACCAAGGCCCTCCAGAAATTGTAACTTCTTTATTATTTGTTTTTTACTGTTTAATTTTAAAATAAAATTAAATATTTATTATTCAATAAATTTAATTAATGAATAATTAAATCAGCTTTTTATTTTTACATAATTTTTTTCATATTCTGACTCCTTCAACAAATAAAAGGTCTACAATGAGAGTGAAGCTCGTAAATACACATCAAAGTCAGTTATCTAATTAATGATAAATATTATATTATATTATTATTAAATTAATTAAATTGCTTATTTATTAATTAATTAAATTCAAATTTAAGTATTACAAATGAATAAATTGTTATATTAATGAATTTAGCGTCCAAATAAAATGTTGTATTTATATTTTGTATTTTTATACATATACATACATACATACAATGTGTGAATTACATACTTATCTACATATATTTTATAAATACTATATAATACTATTATATGAATGCTTTTTTTAAATTTAGTTTAAAATTTTTTTTTAATTTAGTTCTCGAATAATGGAAGTACAAAGGGAGCTATCAGAAAGAGCAATAGAATTATTAAATCTGCCCGAAAACGATGGCCATCTCATACTGGATATCGGGTTTGTGTGTGTGTGTGCGTATATGTATGTCTGTATGCTTGTTCATATGTATGTTTGTATATTTGTTTGTATATATGTTTGTTAGAATGTGTATGTATATGTGTATGTATGTTAGTATGTGTATGTAAATACATGTGTATGTATATATATATATATATATATACATATATATATATATATATATATATATATATATGTATGTATGTTTGTTTGTCAGTAGGTGTATGTATATATGTTTGTTTGTTTGCTAGTATGTGTATGTGTTGTATGTGTATAAATTTGGCTTGTACATATTATTATTATTATTATTATTTCTATGTGGTTCACTCTAATGACATTCCTCAGAGGATTGTACTGTGATTGGACAAATAACTTTTCAACTCTCTTCTGAAATCTTTTACTGGATTAACTTGCTTGTAGTTAACAACATGCTATCTATTTCGAATTCATCAACGTTAATTTCTTAATCATCAGCATTATCATTATCACTAAGACCATAAACATCGTCATCATCTTCACCTTCATCGTCGTCGTCACCACTATTGGTGATTAGATGTGGTTCAGGATTGAGTGGGGAATGTTTAACAGAAGGGAATTACAATTGGGTAGGTCTGGATATCAGCAAACATATGCTCGGTTTGTATCAACTTCGTCTCATCTTTGTATCATTGTTTGTTTGTTTGTTTGTTTAATTTTTGTTTTTACTTCTCTCGTATGTATGTTTCTGTTTCAGTATTCGTGTGTGTATGTGCTAGCAATCTATCCGTTTGTTTTATTTTTCTTTTCATATTTTTCATCCTTAAATCCATCCATCTTGCCATCCATTTTTTGTTCTTCCATCCATTCATCAACTTTCATTCCTTTACTCACCCATCCTTCCATCCATAGATATAGCCCAGGAAAGAGAGGTGGAGGGTGACTTGCTGCTGCTTGACATGGGGGATGGCATGCCCTTTCGACCAGGCAGCTTTGACGGGGTCATTAGGTAGGAATAAAATACTCACATACATACATACATACATACATACATGCATACATGCATACATACATACATACATACATACATACATACATACATACATACATACATACATACATACACACACACATACACACATACATACACACATACATATATATATATACATACATACATACATACATGCATCCATACATGCATACATACATACATACATACATACATACATACATACATACATACATACATGGTGGCCGAGCCCACAAGAATTAATTTTCTTGTTTTGGTCTCCGAATCATTCATGATTTTTGTTTTGTTTGATTGAATAAAAGTGATTTGATTTGATTTGATACATACATACATACATACACAGTATATCTGCCCTTCAATGGTTATGCAATGCTGATAAAGGACAACACAATCCTGCCAATAGATTGTTTAAATTCTTCAGTACACTATATTCATCTATGGTAGGTTTTGTATATCTCGTATTTGTTGATGGATGGATGGATGGATGGTTGGATGGTTGAATAAACATTAATTCCTAGTTTGTTTTATTCATTTATTTATTGATTCATCGTAAAGCTTCAATATTTTCAACAAAGTCATAAAATTTTAAAATACCGTTGTTATAAAATTTTTATAAATAAAATAAGAATCAAACATCCAATCAGGTTAGAGGAGGAAAAGCTGTCTTTCAATTCTACCCTGAAAATGATGCACAGGTTGAATAATAAGAATAATAATATAAATTAAAATATAAGTCATAATATATTTATAATAATATTAATAATAATATATTATAGTAGTATCAAAATTAATGTTGACACAAAATACTTAAAAATAAAATAAAAGCATATTTAACATAACCTATTGCTTATGCAATGCAGTTGCAGTTGATAATGAAGCAGTCCGTTAAAGCCGGTTTCGCTGGTGGCCTTGTTGTGGACTACCCTAACAGCTCGAAAGCTAAGAAGTTAGTCAGAGGGAGGGTGTTGGAAGGAAAGGATTACCTAATTTGTTTGTTGGTTGGCTGGTTGGTTGATTAGTTGGTTGGTTGGCTGGTTGATTGGTTGGTTGGAATGTTGATTGATTGATTAGTTGGTTGGTTGGTCGGTAGGTTGGTTGGTGGATTATTAATTAGTGTTGGTGCCATTATAAAGGTGCATGTCTTAATTTGTTTGTTCATATCAATTTAAAAATGATATTATAATATATAATATAATAAATAATTTATAATAAAATATATAATATAATAAAATGTATATTATTAATTAGTGTGTGTGCTTCCATGAAAGTGTGCCTATTAATTTAAAATATTTTTATTCTAGAATGTTCCTATTTTTATACACTGGAGGCGCTCCACAAGCAATACCACACGGCTTGGGTACAGAAGAAGCCAACCAACGAACCGTTCAGCAGCAAGTTGTATGCGCATCTAAAAGGTTGTTGTTGCGATTTTCAAGTTGTTTGTGATGTGTTGTCGTGTGATTGGCTGGTTTCTGATTTCTATTTATAGTTCGGTTTATTTAATTAAGGAATTATTTCTTCATTTATTTTTGTTTTTTTGATCTTTTTATTTTTTTTTCTCCAAGGCCCAAGTACAAAGATTTGAAAGGTCAGTCGGCCAAGTTGAGTCACCGTGAGTGGTTGTTGGAGAAGAAGGAGAGAAGGAAGAGGCAGGGGCGGTGAGTTATTCATTTATTCGTTCGTTCTTTCGTTCATGTATTCATTCATCTATTTGTTCACTCATTTATTCGTTCATTCATTCATTAGTTTATTTTTATCCACCCTTTTAAAAAAAAATTTTTTTTTTACAGAGAAGTTCATCCAGACTCAAAGTATACTGGCCGAAAAAGAGCAGGAAGATACTGATGAAAGAGAGAGAGAGAGAGAGAGAGAAAAAAAAAAGAGGGAGAAATGTTATATATGTAGTTAATTATTCATTGAACGTTTGGCTATGTGGTCTATGGAGACATAACTTGAAATGTAGTTACATCGAGTATTTTCATCATTAATTGATGTCCATGTATCCTCTGTTTTTTTTCTTTATTTTAAACTTTGTTCAATATGTAGGAATACAAATTTTCTCTCAATCAAATTTCTGCTTGATTTGATAAACTGAAAACTCTGCTACGATTGAAAATTGCGTTCAGTAATGTAACATTTAAGAAGGCCTAGACCTTTGAATTGAATAAGAAACACTGTCACGTTAGTATAAGTATTTATTTTCAAAGTGACAACTTTATTTTTATAACTTAATACAATACCAATTACGTTGTATAAATTATAATAAGAAAACAAATAAAAATAGGGGGAGTCAACAGCAGCATGTATGTTAAGATACAGGAAATTTTAAACTGTAAATGCACTCTGTATTATCTATATACTAGATATTGAATATAAATAATATATTTTTGTAATACAGACTGATAAAAATAATATATTATATAATATACATGTATATATTATATGTGAGAGTGCGGTGTTTTGTAGAACACGTTTGTAAAATGCATGCACTACCAACATCATGTCACGTCGTAAATCAGTCTGTAGGTAATTTGCACATTGTTTCACTAAATATACTTTTCCTCGAATTCAACCTCGACAAAACTCTACTATTTGATCTTTTCTCAAATCTATCTACGTACATCTTCGATTCTGCTTTATATCTTATCAAATCGTCGGCGTTATCTTCATGTAGCATGGGCTTGTATGAAGACGGTTCGCATAATCCTCTGTGATTGTTAAAAAATTCCTTGTATCCGTTCTCTAGCAAGTATATTTCAGGATGAAATAGTCTGGGATAATTTTCTTGATTCCATTCTCTGTCTTCATTTCTCAAGTACCTGCACATCTTTGGTCCTCTCTCTGAGGAAAATTCGCAATAGAAGATCAAAATATTTTTCTCTTTGTTAGTTGAACTCAAGTTAATGTTAGATGAAATGAATTCGTTGAAGATGGAATCCTTCGTGTAGAAATTCTTGGCTCCAATGATATGTCCGCCATTATATTCATATGGATACCTGCAGTCAATGATTGTGAAGCTATTCATGCAATCATCGTACTTTCCGAGCAGAACATCCGACAACTGTAGAGAAAGTTGTATTTAAAATATTATTTAGATAGTAATATATTAATAATATAAAATAGTATATTATTTAGAAAGTAATATATTAATAATATAATATATAATATAACATATTAATAATAATAACATAGTAATACAATGAGCAATTGTTAATTATATTATAACCGTGTCATGTGATATGGCCTTCAGGTCGCTCTGCTTCCCTCCTTCGATTAGTGGCAAAATGTACGGCGCACTGAAATCTGCGATTAGGTTTGCATTCTCGTCTTCTTCGTCCAAATACTTCTTAACAGTTTCCACTTTGGAATGACACTTTCTGAACTTATTCAAATGTGGATTGTCACGTTTCAAAAAATTTTTCCTGACATTTATTTCATCTAGACTTAATTTTTTAGGAACGAGTGAATTTCTTTTCATAGGTTGTTTATTCATCAACGAGGTTGGGGCGTTCTGATGAATAATTTGTTTAGTTAATAAATTTTTTGGAGAAAATGACATTGGAGACATCGGTAAGTTTGAAGATGAAGTTTCGCGACCAAATATTCTCCTTCTATCGATGGCACTTGGACTCTCGCAGATCATTGGTGGTTCAACGGCTTCAACTAAGAATTTTCCAATAGCTGGACTTTTCATTTCAACAAAATTGTCATCAAATAAAGTCTTCTTAGGAGTGCTACACAGGTCAGACTCAAATGGAGGGCAGTGCACGGCACTCCTAAACTTTGGAGCTAAGTTGCATTTCATATCTTGAAAATTCTCCCCACTAGGCGAATTAACAACGTAGTCTTCCTCCAAGTTCGTTGAAATCTTCCTACTGTACATGTGCATGTCATCATCGCTATCCGAAATAAAACTTGTCTCCAGTTTTTCGTCCTCAAATTGCATCACTATCGACAAATCTTCTGAAAAAACCTGCTCCATTATTCCTATTTAGAAAGCAAAATGTAGCTAGTTAATTATAATTACTATAGAAACCGTTTTCAAATTATGAATGTCAGTTATTAAAATTAAACCGTATTTATACTCATGTTGAATTAATTGTAAATCTGATCGTCTTAATTAATGTAAATTTAATCATCAACCTTTCTTCCCAATCGACACGTAACAAATCTCTCTTTCAATCATTTATTACGAAACACAGGCAACGATGTCATAAAATTAATTAAACCCCTATTAAATGTTTGCACATTATCAACGTTTTATTATTTTACAAACAGCTAGCCAATAAATCAAACAACCATCATATTCTCGCTGAACTTTTACGAACAAATATCGCAAAGGAGAGTAAATTCCAATGCAAATTTAATGTTAAACGATGAAAACTCATACTGTTGAGATTGTAATTTTTACAACGTAGCATTTGTCAACAGATACCTAATGTAAATCCTTCATAAATCAGGTCAAAGTTAGAAACTTGCAAACGACCAGGAGTCGTACTTATGCATGAAATTCATTAGTTGAAAGTTATTTTATCACGTAATTATTCAATACTCCCTGTTTGAAATTTACTGCTCAACTCGGTTTTACAATCCTTAATTCAACTTATTCATCTACATCCGTGCACCTAATCAGGAATGATTTCAATTATGTATTTCCCAACAAAAATATACTTCAACTTAATTTGCTATTAATGCGTGTGTTGATTTCTTGTGATAGATACGTGTTTGGAAGTTTTATAATGCAAGCTTCACCATCGAGGTAACAATTCAGTCGCAAAAATAAATAATGGAATTAACGTTATACTTTATTTTCATTGAAATTAATGAATTAAAATGTATAAACAATGACAGTTTAAGCGTAAAACAAGTTTTCCTTATCAAATAACCACAGACAAACAAACATCGTTTAGTTTACATACACAAATGATATTTAGTTATTAAGAGCTATCAAGTTCATTTATAATTTAATTTAATCAGAGCAAATGTTCAAAACGTTGCTTCTACAGTCATAGTCTGGAACATTCTGAAAAAAAAATTCAAAAATATAGGTTTCATATAAAACATAATTGAAATAATAATAATATATTTATTATTAATCACAAGTATAATGCATAATTAACTATAATTATATTATATAATTAATTAATTATTAATAATTACATTATATAATTAACTTTTTTTTAGGATAAATTAAATGTTGAAAGAAATGAAAGAAGCAGCTAGCTAACTAAGCAGCTTTCTTCTTCTCTTTTTCATTCTTAGCTTCTTCGGCTTCATATTTCTTGATCAGCTGCTCCAGCTCACTACATTTGAGAATTCGAATCCGAGTTTTGTCGTTGGATCTCGTCAGTGTGGCTATCTCAACTGTGTGGGCAGAAATTAGGGAAATGAAATACCACACATACGCCCACACACACACGCACACAGACAAACACACACGCACGCACACAGTAAAACACTCACACACCTTTATCAGCAGTCAGCTTGTTTGTGTCCAATGTCTTAACAAGAACTTTAATGCAGAGATCAAGAGCCTGATTCAAATTGGTCTCACCATCTTTGTAGTCTTGCTTGAGCATTGAAATAGCTACCTAAACAAACAATACACACATGCATACATTACTCATATATACAATAAACACTTTGATACATACAATACAAAAATACAAATCCAACACTCGATACAATATAAAATTTTCTTAATCATCAGCACTAACAGAACTATTGTTTCCAATGCAAGAAGCTCTCCATCCACCATAATTTCCACTCGGATCACTTTGGTACAGTTGAAATCCGTACTGGTGGTCCCAGCCCATGTACAATATGGATACACCAAATGGCCTTTTGCCTAATTTAGGTTTGTGTTCAGAAATTTTAAAAGTTTATCTATAAAATATATTGATCTAAAATGGTAATTTATGGTTTGAAAAACAAACAAATGGCAAAAGTCTTTCTAAAAAAAACTCAAATTTGTTTTATTCAGTTACCTCCAAATTGTGTGTACGCCTGTTTGATGTCACAAATGGAGGCGACCAGCTGTTCACATGGGATGGGTTCGTGGTACTGAAGTTGATGTCGTTGTGACATGATTCTCAACTGGTTAATTAGGACATTGGCATCAGATGTAATGCCGGCCACACTGCACGCCATGTCACTGGTTGAAAGAAATTGTAATTAATTTCATAACACAGCTGACACTATGATTATAACAATGGTGGGTCCCTAATTTAAAATGATGGTTTTATCAAAAGTGAGAAAACTGTCAAGCTTATTTGATAAAATTAGATATATTTTAAAATTTGAGAAACCAACTCATGAAGTTTGTAGATCTTTTCAGAAAAGGCTACATCATCTAAGAGTTTGTTGGTGTTTCTTTTCTCTGCTGCAATGATGATGCCATCAGAAGCCAGGATGCCCAGACAGGTACCTGCATGGCCTATGGCCTCCATGGCATATTCAACTTGATATAGCCTCCCTAATAAGCATGATTAATTAATTATGAAACTGAAAAACTTTCACTAATCAAACAAAATCAAAATAGTAAATTAAAAATTGAAATTATTAAAATTAAATTAATTAATAGTTGGTTTTTTTAAAAAAAGTTAAGCGGTAACATACCTTCAGGAGAAAAAATAGTTGTCCTGGAATCATATCTTCGAGACTGCAATCAATAATTAATAAAGTTTTAGGCATTAAAGTTACTTAATTTAATTTAATAATTTACATTTTTCAGTTTCATATCTTATTTTTATTCACATATCACAATGTACAATGCAATGATGATGATCAAGCAGAACATTGAACGATAATATAAAAACATAGCTACGGCTTTAAATATGCAACAAACTAAACAAATAAAATCTAAAATTCATGAAAAATTTAAAATATTATAAAACTTAATTGAAAAAATGTAACAAAAACGAAGACTTGCCATTATTAACTTTATTAGTATTACAGAGGAATTTTATGAAACGGTCGGCTAAAAGTTAACCCCACAAAACCAAAGCAAGATAAAATATTATTTAACTAATGAAGAGAATTCTGTTGCGACAAGTCTTGTCAAATCGTTTGAACAATTTGTTAGGCTGAAATATTAATTAATTCTTTATTTAACAATTTTAAAAATTTTAAATAAAAGTGGTTTCATTTTTGAAACTAACATTATTCTTGAATTAGCATATTGGCCATTGGAAATTTAAAAGATGCTTTTTAAAGGATCTATGGATGGAATCCATGTTTTAGAGCATTACATTACATTATAAGTTTGTCTTGTTTACCGGATTTTCATTTGTTTTTCCGAATTATTTGATTAGTTGGGCTTAATAAATGAATAATTTAGTAAATAAATAAATAAATTTTTTATTTTGCGATGGATGAGTATTCTGATGAAGTCGAAGATTTGAAGAAAGAAGTGGGTTTTTTCTAAAAATTAGAATAAAAATTTACTAAAAAATATTAAAAGCTGAACTGGGCAATTTATTTTTCAGTTTCAATTTATCCTTCATTGTCGTTATGTTGCGATATAAACTTTTTGTTTTTAATTCAAACTTAGTTTGTACTCTATTTTCCCATGATTTCTGTGTTGTATGTGCATGAATAGAATACTGCTTGACTGTGTTTCTGTTTCTCTAGTCTAACTAAGGCTAAAATTAATGTTGGTTTCTTTCTCAATCAATGATATTCATTAAAGGTTGAGCATTACAAATTCACCTCTGAATCATTTGAGAGGCGTGTGTTAGATCTACAGAAAGAATTATTGATGAAAAATGAAGAAATCCAAAAGTTGAAAGAGAAATTTGAAAATGGTTAGAAAAAACACTTAATCTATAATTTTATTCTCATAATAATCATTTTTTTCAGTAATTTTAATTTACACTTAATATAATACTGTAATAACCAGTGGATGTTAAGCTGTAGTATTTTTTCCTTATAATTATTCATTATTTAACAGTTTTTATTGAAAAATTTATTTTCTGGCGAACAATGTTAATTATTGCTATAGGATAGTTACATATGGCATCGTATGTGGTAGTCCAACACAATTAAATTAGTGTTAGTGAACAGTAAAATAGTAGTAAAGTTGATAAAATAATCATTTTTTTTACAGCTAAACATCTGCTGCATTACATTATACAAATCATTTCATCTCATTGTTGATAATTTTGAAACACAAAACTCAACATTAGCCTAGATATCGATTAGTTAGATTTTATTTGGTCTACAGGTTTAGCTCGTAGTTGTGCTTCAACAGTTTCAGAAGAGGTTTGTTCTTTTAGTTTGTAGTTGTTGTTACATACAGTTTTTTAGATTTTAGTTTTTAAATATATTTTTTTTCTAATTGTTGACAGCTTTGTGTTATGCTTTTTAGTACAAATTAGCTAGGCTGTAGCATTTAGATTTGTTTCAGGTTTTTTTTCCATATTTTATACAGTTTTTCAAATTATAAAAATGCAAATTTGAGTAATTTTACATTTTATCAATGGAAATCTTTCTGAATGTTTCATAACATATTGTTGGCTTACAATGCAGGGTGATGAGCCACTGAACATGAGAAAGTTGTTCATTGGTGGCCTGCCACATGACGCCACGGATGAAACCCTGCAAGAATATTTCTCTAAGTACGGATCAGTTGTTAATTCATCTGTCGTTAAAGATAGTGTCACAAAGAGGTCAGTGCTATATATGTATGATAGCTTTATTTTCATTATTCGTTGATAACTGTTGGACTGATTGTTTCAGTAATTCTGTATGTGTGCATTGAAAAAGCTCTATTTTTCAGAAATCTTATTTATCAATTTATATGTTAATTAACTTTTAAACAGGTCTCGAGGTTTTGGCTTTGTGATATTTTCCAGTTCAAAGATGGCAGATGATGCCCAGGCAGCCAGACCGCACGTCATAAATGGCAAGGAGGTTGACACCAAGAGAGCCATTCCTAAATCTGTAAGATGTCTGGTTTTTATCCCCTACAACTGTCTCTACTTCTGCTAATATTGTTGCATGATGTTGCAATGATGGCGAGGATGGATTATTTTTATTTTTAATATTTTCTTTCAAAATCAGGACATGGACTCGACATACAAGAATCATTCCAACATCCAAGAGAAGCGAGTTTTCATCGGAGGCCTGAGAGGTAGCACGACATCCGAGATCCTAAATACTCACTTCAGTACGTATGGGGTCGTAGAATCTGTTGATCTCATCCTAGATCCGAACACGCATCGCAATCGAGGGTTTGCCTACATTGCTTTCGATGACTCAGATTCTGCTGGGAAAGTTATTTGTAAGTTTGTTAGTTTGGACTATCATCTCAACTCTCTACAGTTATTTTTATGGATTTTTTTGATGTAGAGATGTTTAAAAATTGTGCAATCTTTCTAATTTATCTTTTTTTTTCTCATTAAAATTTCTAACCAACACAGTACAAAAATATCACGTGATCGACGGCCGAAAATGCGAGGCAAAACCTGCTTTTCAGAAACAGCAGCGCTACCCACACTCACATCAGATGGATGGTGGCTATGGGGCAATGGGCTCGTACGGCAGCTACGCTGGCAGCTACATGAACTACATGGACCCCTGCTACCAGCCACACAAGTCATGTTGCGATCATTATCATCATCACCATCACAGAGGTAGTTCAAGGTTGATTTTTTTTCTATAAATAATTTTTTCAATCGAAGATAAGCATTGTTTGTATTGAAAGTAAATTTTATTGCAATATTTTGACTCGTTTATAAATATCTTTTTGTTTCATTTTTGGACAATTCAATGCTGACTAGAACGGTGGCATGGCAGTGCTGATTATAATGAAGGCGACCATCTTCATTATGATGATGATTACGAAGCTAGTAATGATGATGATGATGATGATGGACAAATAAATTTTTTACTCCTACAGAGGAAGGAACAGATGCATGGAGCAATAACAATCCACTGAATGATGCTGCTCTGATCAGTGCATGGAGCAAAACTAAAGCATATGGTATTCTAATCTGATTAATTACAATTTACAATTTTTATTTATCTAAAACTGATCTTATTTTTTAAAATTTAAATGAATTTATAAAATAAAATAAATTTAAAGTAACGCGTTGATATTAACGTTCTATTAACATGTACTTATAGGTAATAGTGAGTCTCCTAATAGTAAAGACAACGGGAGGCCATTGAAAAATTCAACTGTCATTCACAAGCCTTTTAAACCATATTAATGCATATTAATGATTTTATTTGTAGTATTATCATCAGTTGGTATGTCTGAGAAGCTGATCAAGCTTAGATTTTTTTTTATCGTTAGCTCATTTGTTCAATGTAACGTTTCGTCGCGTTTCTGGGTTTTTTTAGTGTCTGTTCATACATTCACAAATGCGTTTCTTTTCCGTTGGTTCTGATATTATTTGGTTAGAAGAAATTAGCGACGGATTCGTTTGTGTTTTTTGTCTACTACAGCCACCTTAAATTAAACCAAATGTTTTAAAAATATTTATCTACAAGAGAAATAAGTTGCCTACATAAATTTGAGACATACTTAAAATATGGACGTTTATAGCACACATCCATGAAAAGCCTCAAAGCATACGCCGTAACGTATGATTACGTATTCGTAGAACGTCTACAAATGCATATTTACCGTGGACCACGCGCCTGCACACAGACAAAACCACTCAAACAGACAAAAGCAGACAGCACATTACAATTATTCGTGAAACCTTTATGCATACACGTACTCTATATATATCTCTATACATCACTAAATCAAGTCTGAAAAAAACTATCGCCATTCGTAAGCATCAAAGATTACATTGAGTTATAAAGCAAAAATACCAATCCATATATATGGAATTCTATATATATATATATATATATATATATATATATATATGTACCAATCGTACAATATATACAAGTGTACTTTGCGGTATGTTCAATGATTACAAACATTTTACTGCATATTAAAATATATATTAGATATCGCCTCGATGTTTTTTTGTGCTTTTTTGAGAGAACTCTTTCTTCTGTTAATCGTAGTTCCTTACATTTATCTATATTAAATAGCATTTGTCAATTTCACCCAAGTATCAGTCCAATGGGAAGCCTATTTACCAGCATACAACACCTTCTTATGGGTTGAAGCAGGGATATGCAAAGAACCTCAATTTTTTCACTTTTTAATTATTTTCAGTAATGTTTCCCCTTGCTCCAAACCACATAACTAGAAAAATAGGACTAATCGATCAATTCGATCTATCGGTCGGGCTATTTGTCGTGCTTGGATTGTTGGCTTACGAAATTGCATGGATTTTAACGGGCAAGCTAAATGAAATATTTACTTGATTTAATATGCTTAAAACATTGTAGTAATTCTATTTAATTTTAATAATGATTAATAGAATTATGTATTATTAAATTATTTTTGTTAATTTGAATATAAAAATTGCTTTTGGTCCAGTGAAATCCGGTGGCTTACTGAAGCCGAAGGTTGGCTTAGTAGGATTGAACTATAGTCACCCTTTTTTTTACACTATTCGATCATGTTAAAAATTGGTTTGCTTAAGTAATAAACGGCCTAAATAAATCAAAATCGTTATTTGAACAACTATCTTCATTATATTCAATGAATATTTTACATTCTGCTGGTGCTCATAAGAAACTGGCTGCTGAAATCATACGTTGGCTTACAGCAGTGGCTTACAGGGTTTCATAGAACTCTTACGATAGCACTTTTTTGTACATATAATGCTTTAAATAAATCAATATATTCATATCACAATTATTTTTGTCAGTATAAATATAGAAATTGCTTTTGTCAGGTGAAAAACAGTGGCTTACTGAAGCCGTAGGTTGGCTTAATCGGATTTTTTCTCATGTATACAATATTATAAGATAAATCAATCAAACAATCAGTCAGTCGGTCGGTCGGTCAGTCAGCCAGCCAGCCAACCAGCCAGCCAGCCAGCCAGTCAGTCTGTCAGTCAGTCAGTCAGTCAATCAATCAATCAACCAACCGATCAATCAACCGATCAATCAATCAACTAAATTGAATGAACAAAATAAACAAAAATAAAAACAAAAATAAATAAAAAAAATTTGCAAGGCCTGTTCAAACTTGAACAAACAGTTAGCCGTACAGATCTACAAACAATTTCGAGATTTTAGTAAAGAAAGAAAAACACAGTAGTTGCTTTTATTTGAATTCATTCAAAAATGAAAAGTGACGGTTAATTAAAATTTTAAAATGTCAATTTTTTTTTTAAATTCGTATTTTAAATAAACAAATATAACAAAATATCGACCGATAAAAATAATTATCATCCATTATTATTATTATTATCATACACACTCCTTGGAAGTTCTCGAAGGATAATAAACCACGTAACATGAACATTTAGTAAGAACAGTTCACAACATATCATAATGACTAAATCAACATACTAAACAGAAATAATTTATACATGCATATATACAAAGTAAATCAAGAAATATCCAAAAATTATATAACCAATTTAAAAAAAACTAGAAACCAGTCAACATTTAATGAATAAATAAATAGACATTGTTAAAAAGATTGTTCAAAAAGGTACAATTTAAGGCGACGACGAGAATGAAATGTAGTTTGTATTGTTGGTGTGGTGTTGTGAAGCGAAAACAAACACATCACACAAAACTAGTAAGAAGTCGCAAGAATAAGTCAGTCACCTACCTATAATAAAATTACTCTCAGGGCCCTAGCTTACTTATAAACATTGACTCAACTCATTTACCTACAAATTTGTATTTCTCGTTTTAGATGTTTCAAGTATTTTATTTAACATATTTTAGCGTTTTTATTTTACTTGAACTAATGTTAACTAATGTTAAGCCCTAGCCTACCTACAATTGTTAAACTCATCTCAGTCCCTAACTTACCTATGAATTAAATTAAAGCCCGGTTCACGGTAAAGAAAATATAAAGTTGAAGAGAAACATAACAACGACACCGAATGAATGGATGTTGTGTATGTATGTGTTGTATTGATGTGTGTGTATGTATATGTGCGGGCGCGCACTCTCCAGAAACTTCACTCACTACCGACGAACCTCCATTGCACCGACCATCATCTGACACGCATCGATGGAATGAATTTGACCGGATACTGACAAGTAAATTGAAAAAAAATTAATTCACTAAAATAAAAAACAAGCAATTGGAAAAAATAGACAACTTATCTTTTTGAGATAACACTCAATCTTTGTTCAAATTCGAGTACTTTCAAAGGTACAATGAGACAAAAACAAATTTACTTTTAACATTATCTTCGATTTGTCATCGGAACGATCATCATGAGACCACCATCTGAAACGTGCTGACGCCCAACACAGCCCACCTCTCATCATTCTGTAGACAAGTTTTTATTAATTAGCGAAGTAGTAAATCAAGAAACAAAGGAACGAACGAATAAATGATTAACTGAATGATTGAACGATTGGTTGAATGAATAAATTAATTAATTAATTAATCAACCAATGATTTAATGAATGAATAGAATGAATCAATGAATAAATTAACTGAGGAATAATTTGAAAGATAGTGATAAAATGAATGAATGAATGAATGAATGAGAAAAATAAAAAAAAGAAACTAAATCATACTTCAAAAACCGTCGTTGTTATCTTCGAATTGTCATCGGAACGATCATCATGAGACCTCTATCTGAAACGTGCTAATGCCCACAACAGCCAACCTCTCATCATTCTGTAGACATTTTTTTAATAGCGTATTAGTAAATCAAGGAACAAAGGAACGATCGAATAAATGAATAACTGAATGATTGAACAATTGGTTGAATGAATGAGTGAGTATGAATGAATGAATTAATTAATCAATCAATGATTCAATTAATGAAAAGAATGAATATTAACGATTTAATTAATGGAAGAATAATTTGAAAGATTGAGTGATAAAATAAACGAATGAATGAATGAGAAAAATAAAAAACGAAACTAATCGTTACTTTAAAAATCGTCGTTACTGTACCCAATTGCACCAACCACCATCATCTGGCCGGCACACAAGATATCATCCGAACTGAAGAGTGTCAGTCGAACAGCCAACGAGCTGATTCTTTATACACCACCATCATCATACGTAAATCATCATAAGACCACCATCTGAAACGTGCTGACGCCCACCACTGCCCACCTCTCATCATCCTGTAGACAATTTTTTTTATTTGCGTAGTAGTAAATGAATGTTAGAATCTTAGAAGCAAAAAAATTATAAAATGAAAATAATGTCAAATAAATAATATTTTAAATTAATAAAGAGAGTAAAATGTAAAAAAACTTACCGTCGTTCATTCGACAAAGGCAGAATGTTGAATGCGGTCCGGTTCCTACGTTGTCCTCCAAAACTGGTGCCAGTCCTCCTCGAGATTGTTGTTGAAACACAGCCCGTGGAATGGAGAAAAAGAAAATTCTCATCAGAAAGCTTAGCGGTGCCTGCATCTCAAATTGCTTAATAAAAATAATCCTATCTACATATTCAATTACCTTAACTAATCTATATTAAATTGATAATGGTACGATAGTCGAAAGTCCCCCTTCATTCTCCCTCCTTGCACAGAGGTTCACCGACAGCCAGGGCACCGGATAGTAAACCATTGCCGTGCGGATAGTAGACTATTGCCGTGCGGATAGTAAACCATTTGCCGTCCGGAAGCCGTGCGGGTAGTAGACTATGGCCATGCCGCATAGTAAATCATTACCGTGCAGATAGTAAACCATTGCCGTCCGGATAGTAAGCCATTGCCGGTTCACCACTGGCTACCAAGGCTTACCTATGACAAGGGACTTTGAAATTCAGAGTCTATCGGCTATTGTACCCTCAACTTACCTATTCATTACAATTAAGCCCTAGCTTACCTAAAAATTACAAAACTCAAGAGCCCAATTCATTGGCCAATCGGCACCCACCCCACCACCTACGTAATGCCTTGGGCTCCAATTTAATAATAATAATATAAAACTTAAACCTTAAATCTATTAATGAGTATGTGTTACAACGTAGCCTTAACTTACCTATTCATTACATTATGGTCCTAGCTTACCTAAAATTACAAAACTCAAGAGCCCAATTCATTGGCCTTTCGGCACCCACCCCACCACCTACGTAATGCCTTGGGCTCCAACGTAATAATAATATAAAACTTAATAATTTACCTACCTATCGATACACTTACAGCGTTTTAATTTACATTACAAGATTGTTCCTAGAATTACATTATTTCCCTTAACTACCTATGAAATTAAATTACTCTCAACCTTAGTAATAATAAATTAGAATGTGTAATGAAAATAAAATTACGCTCAAATACTAACATATGTGTTTATGTATGCAATTGTGTATCTGTGTGTAATACGCTGATGCGTGTAATGTGGGTGCAAGAAAAAATAGAAGCGATAAACTTACGCGCCTACCTATTCAACTACATTAGTGTTGGATGCTTCCTATCTATCCTACCTACAATTAAAATTATGCCTATCTAACCTACCTATATAGCTACTTAATGTAATTGTGTGTGTATGTGTGTGCGTGTATGCATTCCTACTTAATGTTAAATTACAGAGAAAAAAGAATAAAACGTATCCCAGCCAGGCGTGTATTCTTTGCCACTGACATCATCCATGATGAGCTCCTCTGGAAGCTTCAACCTGAATGAAATGAATAAAATGAAAAAACTTATTTATTTAAATTAATATAAATGAAAATTGACAAACGAGCCGCGGTGAAACCCGCCAGCAGAAAAAGCCAGCCAACTGGCAAAAAAAGGAACAGCAAAGAAACCGTAAAACGTACCCGTCAGGCGTGCATTCTTTGCCAATGAATGAACGAGCGTAGCGTGACATCACAACCATTCTGATCGTCCACGATGAACTCCTCTGGAAGCTTCAACCTGAATGAATGAACCTGAATGAACCTAAATGGAAAAATCTTATTTATTTAATCAATTAAAATGAAAATAGAGAAACGCAAAGAAGCCGACCGGTCGGCAAAGAAAAGAACCTCAAAGAAAGGTATCTATATAGGATTTATGCTCTATATAACTCTATATAACTCTATATAACTCTATATAACTCTATATAACTCTATATAACTCTATATAACTCTATATAACTCTATATAACTCTATATAACTCTATATAACTCTATATAACTCTATATAACTCTATATAACTTTATATAACTCTATATAACTCTATATAACCATGCATACTACCACATTCAATCAATAAAAATCCCACTAAAACCAGGAACCACCGCGTACCTGCTGAATGTATAATGTGAAACAAAACAAAAAAAAAACACAAAACAAAAATTACACCACCAAGTAGAGTAAAAGAATAGGAGTCCCTAACCTACCTATGTAACTAAATTACCTTATGCCCTAGCCTACCTATATAATAAATTAATTTTTACCTCACCTACCTATGTTTCATTAACTTAACTCAAGACTCATGAAGAAAGAGAAAAAGGAGTAAAACAGAAAACAAAATACTACCACACAAACAAACATGATGTATGTATGTATGTATGAGCAACCGTTAAAGAACCCACCTAAAATTAAAAAAATACCACCTACAAACATTCAAACCACCTACAAACATGCAAACTCTATATCACACTATATAACTCTATATAACTCTATATAATAAAATAAATAAAAATAAAAAAATTTTAAAAATAAAATAAATGAGATCAGACAGACTGCTTCAAGCGAGGCAGAACGCTGATCTGATTTTCATGTTGTCTCAGCTCCTCTATTTATACTCGTTTCAACCATACATTCTCATCATTTCAATCATTCGCATCAATAAAAAAATTGTTTAATGTATATACTGCACTATTATACAGTCTTAACCACAATGCTAACCGTACTAAATTGAAGTCATCGAACGAATGCCTTCAAAACTTTCTGGTTGGCTGGTTGAATCTGCTATATTGCTTTTCATATAAACATATAATCTAATATAATATAATTTATTATTTGTATACATGGATTCCAGTCACTTTATATATCCTATATAATAAAAATTCATTATAAAAGCAACAGTAATCAGTGCTATATATGTAAACACGCAGTTCAAATTTTTTGGGGAGAATTCAAAATTGTTTGAGACCACACCTTGCTTAACATCTAATTCCAAGCCGAGCCAAGCCAAGCTGAGCCAATATGCATAAATTCATTATAAAAAACAACAGTAGCCATTACTATATATGTACGCACGCAGTTCAAATTTTCTGGGAGAATTCAAATAGTTTGAGACAACACCTTGCTTAACATCCGATTCCAAGCCGAGCCAAGCCAAGCTGAGCCAATATGCATAGATTTATAAGCGCTTTTATATTAAAATTTTGCTCGCTTTTTAAACGAATATCCCAATATAACAAATTCTCCATCCTATTTTAACTTTCTTTGATGCTTTTTAATCAGTCAGGTCACAAAAATCATTATCGATATCGCAATGAAATCAATTTGAAATTTTTTTTAATTATTGATAAAATTTTTAAATTGTTGATAAAAATAACTAGTATATATAGTGTAGTAAAACGTTTAAACTTTTCTGGGAGAATTCAAAATAATTTGAGACTACACCATAACACAATTGTACAATTTGAATGTGTAAATACAACATTATAAATGTATTATAACTACGTGTATATATTTATCTATTTCTTTATTTAGTTCTGCCTGTGTATGATGTTTTGTCAAATTTATTTGATAGGAATTGAATACAACCTTTATACCGGCTGATTAACTACCATGCAGTAAAATAACTACTGTTGACACCATTTCCTCTAACGATTTCGAATAGAAAATAGAATTAGAATATATTTATTCTAATTATATGTATCAGTCCATTCGTGTAATCTTTCCTCTTGCCATTGTCATTAATTAATCATTTCAGCATTCAAATGTTTGTTGGTTTAAAAGTGAAACTAAGTAAAAGCGTCGTCAATAGAAATCGGAGCTTCATAAAATGCCGCTTTCCTTCGCCTAATTTGAAGTTTTTTTCATCGGTAAAAATAAAGAAATTTTAAAATGTCCGTAGTAACTGATGAAGACAGTGAGCTTAGAGATGTCCTAATCAAAGCTTTAGAAAATGCCGGTGTATTAGGTAAAATTAGGGTATGTGTTGTCACACTGTTGTGTTGTATTCTATTTTCAATTTTATTTATTTTATGTTTTAAATTTTATATAATATAACCTTATTATTATAATTTAAAAAATTTAATGCACTGTAATTATGTTATTTCTTTTTAAATGTATTTCATTGAAAAAACAAATAAATTTAATAAATTGATAATAAAATAAAAAATTAAGGCTCAGTTGCGGGCAAGTGTTTTTTTAGCCCTGGAGAAAGCTGAAAGTGAGGTTGTATCTGTCTGTGTGTGTGTATGTGTGTGTGTGTGTGTATGTGTGTATGTGTGTGTATACATGTATGAATGGGGGTATACATATATGTTGGTGAGTGTGTGTGTATGTATGTGTGTGGAGTTTAACAATGTTTTTAAGTTTTTAGTGTTACAAAAGCAATTATCAATTTTTATTACAAATATTTAAACATTAACCATAAATTAATTAAAATTGCAGAAAAAGATAACATTAGCAGATAGGAATTTTTTGAACTTTGCCAAAACCTCAGAAGGAAATTTGATAATTTCATTAATTCTAGATTTTTTGAAAGTTTTTAATTTAGACTGCACATTATCTATTTTTGAACCTGAAGCTGTTGTTGTTAGTATTGTATGTGTGTTTGAATGTATGTTTTTCTGTATATATGTTTGTATATTTGTCTGTATGTATATATGTATGTAAGTATGTATGTTGTATGTGTGTATGTGAAAATAGAAAATTGAAAATATATGACTCAAACTAACTTTTGTAAACGAATCTCAAGCAGGATTTAGAGCCACATGATCGAGATTCGCTGTGCAACATTTTGAATCTAAAAATTGAGGGTAACGTCATCAATAAACAGCCAATCATATGCCATCTTTTAAAATCCATTAGTTTACCAAAGTTCCCTAACAAAAATGTCAGCAGAAAAAAAGACATGGAGAAGGAAGAGGAAGAGGATAATTTTGATCTTGTAAGTTCTAGTGTTTTTTTTTCGTAATATTATAAAATAAATTTTAAAGATCATTTTAAAATTAAAAAATTTTAATTTAAATAAAATTCATTATTTTTTTTGACTCAGGATAGGCTACTGCTAGAGAAGAAATCACTCAAGAACAACAGCAATAATGTCGACAATCAACTTCAGAAGCCGCAAAAGATCGATGATATAGATGATATCTTGAATTTCAATCAGCCTACCAACGCTAAATTGTCATTAAACACAGATAACAATAATAAAAAACAGCAATCTTACATTAGGAATGATTCTAGGTATCATATATCTAGATACATTATATATCTATATCATTTTTTTTCTTTTTTTTGCCCATCTTATTCATGCTACATTGTCAGTACGTTTCTAAACCCACTACCATGTTATGTTTTCAAAACGCCAGTTGTAAGATTTTAATTTATCTATTCATTCATCAAGCTATCTTCATAATTAACTGATATTTTTTTTTATAAAAAAGTTAGTTTAGGCTTATGATATAAATAATTATC